GACCTTGACCCGTGAGGGGTCTTTCACACTATACTTAACGTCTCCGTTTCGACAGGTGAAAAATGTCTGCTTTAAGTATAGATAGTGCTAATGTTACGTATTTGGTAAGTGTCGTCCCCAAGTACTTGAATTTTATCAGATTTTAAAATGATTCATTACCTGTCCTTATATTCTGGTTCTGTCCTGAATTCTGATGGTGAGACATGATCTACGACCAACATCCATACTAGCCCTCGAGTGTTTCTGTGTTCGCTTTTATAGTATTTATATTATTGCCCAGAAGATTAATATCACCAGCACAGACCAAAAGCTGATGTGTCCCATTCAACTTCAAACCTCCCTGATTTTTTTTGGACTTTCCTGATTGCATATTCTAAGGCAAAATTTAAAAGCAGCGGTGATAAAGCATCTCCCTGTTTCAGGCATTTTGAATAGGAAATGTATTGGACAATTTTGTTAGACGTTTCACTTAAACATGTTTCAATTAGCCTGACTAGCTTTTATTTACACTAAATTTAAGAAGAATGTTTCAAAGAGCTTCTATTTTGACTGAGACATAGACTTTCTTGAAGTTTATAAATACTCGATGTACTGTTCCATTCTACTGGTATTTTTTTCTCTAGTATCTGGCGAATGTAGAAAATTTATTCAGTTGTAGATCGATTACGACCCAACCAACTACTCGTACTTTGCCTTACGTGTCTGCGAATAATTGCAGACGAATCTACAAACTCCCCAATTACTAACCTTAGAATGTACAGTTGTCGCCTAGTTCTGTGTCTTACTAGTTTATTTTCAAGACAGCGAATTATGCCTGTACATTAGTTGTAAATTGCTATAATAATTTGTAGTTCTTGTAGCATCTCCATCGTTTCCAAAATAATCGATTTTCACTCACATAAAATCGTGGAAGCTAGCTTTGAAGTTTTAGGGGTCGCAGCAGCCAATGAGATTATCGTCCGGTCGGTGACATGTCATGTGACATTGAATTAAACTTGAGCGAGAAAGTTAATTTCAGTAGAAACTTTTCCCTTCAGATTGACGAGTCTACCGACATTATTGGTCATTCGAAATTAATTTCTTACATTAGATTAGTAGATTTTGACAAGATTATAAGTAATTTTCTGTTCTGCAAGGAACTTCACGAACGAAACAGCGGTGATGAAATATTCTGTGCTACAGACAAATAGCTGAGCGAAAATCGCTTAGATTGGAAAAATAATGTCTGTAAGTACGGATGGGGCGAAGTCAGTGACAGGCAATGTCAAAGGTTTTGTAGCGGATATTGGGTTTCGTCACTGTCGTCTTCATCGTGAAGATCTTGTGACAAAGACACTGCCTCCAACTCTGAAGACGTGCTCGACGAGGTTGTCATCAACTCGAAGCCTCTAAATTCTCAACTTTTTTCAGTTTTGTGTAAAGAAATGGGCTCCGAACACACATCCCTGTTACTTCACACTGAAGTACGATGGTTGTCGAAAGGAAATGTGTTAACTCGAGTTTTTGAACTGCGCGACGAGGTGAAAGTGTTTCGAAGACTCTGAAAACATGAGTTGGCGGAGTCAGTTTCTGATGATGAGTGGGTCGCTAAACTCTGACATTTTTGTACATTTAAATGAACTAAATAGAAAAATGTAAGGTAAAAGTGAAAACATATTAACTAGTGTGGACAAAATTCAAGGTTTCCGTGAGAAGTTGAAGCTGTGGTTACAAAATATCGGCCCTGGAAATCTAGAAATATTTCCAACTGTGTTCGTAAGATGTTACTTCCGGTAATCGAAGAGCATATTAAAATACTGAAACAGAAATTCTGTGACTATTTTGACAGAGACATAGGGCATTTGGACTGGGTTCTTAATTCGCTTGCTATAATAAAAGTCGAAGAACTGACGGACCTTAAAGCTGACCGAACTTCGAAACTGAAGTTTTGTCAGACTTTTTTTGATAACAGTGAGGGAAGAATATCCCATAGTTACTGAGACGGCTATAAAAATCTTACGACGTACGTGTGTGAGCTGGGACTTTCGACGTTGACGGCCAGAAACACTGCATAAAGGGAACGACCTCGGAGCGTGGATGCTGAAACGAGAGTTGCCTCGTCTTCAGTTTCACCGCGTATCGACCTTATTTGCTCAACAAAGCAGGCAACAAGTATTACGCTGACTAGCAAGTGAAGGTAAGCTTCCTTTTGATTCACTGTTATTGCCTTTTTAAAATTAAATTATTACCATGTAATATATGAATAATTGTTTATCTGATTTAAGTAGATTATAAATTTAATTGAGTTCTGGTGAATATGTTTTTATCTGCTTTTTCAAAGATTGGTTTACAACTGGCCCCCACAAAATGAAACACATGTTGTTCATGAATTTTCATCATAAGAACGTATTACTTGCTTCTTTCTAGACGACGAGGAAGGGATGTTACACGACAACTTCTTCCATTGTTACGAAAAATTAATCCTTTCTAGTTCGGTGTTTGCAGTGAGAAATATACGAAAATCACAAATAGAATGTGTGGACAAACTTCATAATTATTGATTGTCAAAACAGTTTCAGCTATGCCTTGAAAGGTTAATGTTTTCTAAGCACCATCACCAAAATATTGTAAATAAAATATAAGTTTTTATTCATACACTTTCTTCACTCTTTGTAGACTTTAATCATGATTTTTCATAAACGAAAATTCTTCGTGAATATTTCATTACTTTTCTCGGTCTGCTGCCGTATAATACATTTCAGAATTCAAGGAATTAGGTTACAGGTAGAAGATCGGGCCCAACTGCATTCTATATCCATACAGAAGAATGAGTAAGATTCTGACGGACATCTCTGAAACTAATTGCTGTAAATGTTCTTGTGTTTAGCGATAATGATTTTTCCGTGTGATATTCAACATGTGTCAGATGATGTGGTCTATGATAAGCTTTCGGCCAAGAAAACTGATAAGAAATTCAAGCATACTCTACTAATTTAGCAAATACAATAAATAATCGCTGTAATTTTTATAATCGCCATTATTTAACAACTGCCGATAAAACAGCGTCATGAAATAACTACAGTGCCATAAAGTTAGTCGGTGTCTGTTGTTGAGAGATTTTCATCCCATCCTTCTTCCTCAGTTCTGACATGCGCAGCTCTGCCCTCCCTTTGTTGATACCTGTTAACTTTTAGTTCTTATATAAAAGCCGAAGGAGGCGGTTCAGAGTGAAATGGCAGATCCCACAATACAAACATTTTGTTGTCATCGTTCGAACAGATCGGATTTATCTGTGAATGTTTTGATGGGATTCAATACGGACCTATACAACAGCGTTTGTGTAATTTCTTCAATGCTTGGAATTGTTGGCGCAACGTATCAGGTAAGGCTAACACTTGCGACAAGAGTTTCATATACAGATGAAAACGCACACACACGCACAGCGAATAAACATTCTGGATAGTATAGGATACTGAGTTGAACTAGACACACAGAGAAGAAGGAAGAATTACACAAATAATTTAGTACAAGCCCCTTTGTAGTTGCTGGTGGAGATGAGAGGATATTAAAATGGGCCTTTGGCAAATAGAATGTGCAGAAATAAAATTTACTAAAATGTATTGCTATGGGACCAAGTGGAGGATTTCTGTAAGATCAGTAAATCACTTTCTGGTTACACAACATCAGGAATTTCTTAAAATGTTGTAGTTGTAGTTCTTATTGTAGGACAAGACAGTTTGCCAGCTTTTTAAAGGCACTGTCCAGGATTTCATGTATCAGGGATATGAAATGGCTGAAAGAAGATTTACATAACCAAGCACACAAGTGGCATGTCTGCAATATAAAGAGAAAAGGGTAAAGTTGGCTCATCCCTTAAAGGCATAAAAGGGGAATTCAGGAAAATCTGCATATTATTCATAACTTTAGGACTACGCAGAGGCTTCTGCCTGTTTTATCCCCAAATTATAGAGCTTCTACAGCTGTATAGTTATCATGCATCCAGGTCCATAATGATATTACAGCAAGTTGCCTGCTTAGCAGAGAAGGAGAAGTTGATTGTTCACTGCCAATTTCGCCCCTACAGTTAGACCAATCTTAGTTCAAAGTAGAGAATTGTAGCACTGATCTGCTTTTTTGCAGGCCTTACATCTTGAAAAATATATTTGAAACGTTCAGTGAAGTTCTTGACTTAGTATAACAGAAATTTCCTTCAAGATATTTTCTTTCACTTCAAGTAGTGAATGATGAGAATTCACATTTACTTTTATCAAGCCTCATAAATAAAATCCACATGGATTTAAATTGGGTGAGTAGGCCACAATATTTAAGCTACAACATTCACAGAATCATCAGCAATATGGACCATGGCACTGTCCTGCATGAAATACCCATATCATTTTTTCTAACTTCAGTCAGGTGATTGGGAGATAATTCATCTTAGGCTACGTAGCATCTGGAATTTGTTTCATCAAAATAATTAGCTCTTATTCTCTGAACTTTAACTGCACTCCAACTTTCATGAACTGGATTGAAGAGGATTGAAGATGGCTCTTCTGTCATTAGGCTCTTGTAATGGAGACAATAAGCATCTCTGAAATGTCAGTATACTTCTACCAGAGTACGTGGTACAACATCCCAGAAAATATTCATCTTCATTCTCGCCACAGTGAAAACCTGAAATCTCACAGTGTGAGGAATTTTATGAATCCGAAACAATTGTTTTTACTGGTTACATGTACCTCACTTGGGCCAGTGAGGGAATTATGGTTATTTTTTTTGGGAAGAAGCAGATAGCCTGCCGACCTGAGATTTCAGAGCCATCAGTCTCATGATAAACTGCAATCTCTGTATGTAGTGTTTATTGAATGTGAGGCCAGTATGGACATGGTAATGACATGAAAACTTACAACTCTGCTGGGAATCTCACATTCTTCATCTAGTCCTATAATTCCCAACTTTATTCACTGGTAAGACAGCAGCAGGTTTTTCCAAATATTGGTGTTCTGTTTACAACACATTGCACCATGCAAATCACCATCTTTTACCATATCTAAATTTATTTATTTACAACAGGATAGTTAATGAAGTTATGTGATATTAAAATATATAAAAAGAAATAATGTACGCTGAATGTTGACAAAGCTGTACTCATCACATTTCAATGAAACTGGAAGCTATGTAACATATGCTAAAGTACAAACTGCTCTGACCTTGAAAAGAGGCTAATTTAATCCTTATTCACATTCGCTTACTTTACTTTCAACAATACATTAATTTTCCCAGTTGTGATTAAATATATGTACATAATATGACTAGAATTTTTGGAAAAGGAAGGTAAATGTAAAACTGTGGGTACAAGCATGGATCTGTATGGGGGACTGGAGGTAACAGTCTAAAAATTCTAAAGTGTGTGAGTCTGTATACCAGCATAAACTAAGCCATAAATTAAATTAACATCAGTCCACAGGCCACTGATTGATCTGGCCCAAAGTCAGGCACGTCACCGATTGAGCTATTCTCTTTGTCTGGTTTATTGAACTGAAATCTTTTGGATGGTTCTTAGATTCTTCCACGAAGACATAAAGATGTAATACATCGATCATTTGGATTCTCTTCTACAAGAGGTCGACAGGTTGTAGTTTGGCTTGCGGTAGCAGACCTGATGGCATCAATTGGTAAGTCATTGTTGATCTTTTACCTGCTTAAAGACTCGACAAGATTTAAGCACTCAGATACAATTATTGAAATTTGGACATGTCTGTGAACACATATAGTACATCATTCGTCCATAAGCCTCGTCACAACACAAAGAGACACTGCCAATGCATTTATGTCGGATGTATGAAAGTTGAGGTCACAGTGGTGAAGATATCAATGATGGTCATGTGAGACTGCAACACCATAAGAATATTTTAGTAGATGCCAACATTTGGATGAACATACAGCCTCCATCATCAGGGCCAGTTAAGAGTTCACTACAATAAGAGGCTTTTATGTGAAACCTACATTTTGTCATGCAGAAGTACAGAGTAGGGAATCTGCAGCCGACAATTCCCTGACGGATTCACAGAGGTCAAAGAAAAGAGCTGTACGACTCTATGCCATGTTTGAATTTGGGGGGAGAGGAGATAGAGCTCCTACTCATTCTTAACCTTACCACGAGATGGGGGTGAGTGGTTAGCGTCACCCCCAGCTGAACTTAACCCCCATGAAAGGACCCCGGTACCCGTCGGATAGGAGGCTGGGTGGGCCGCAGAGGCTAGAGGAAGAATCCTCTGCCCCCATTGGGGATCAAACCCCGATTGTCGATTTCCTAGCCAGTCACTATACTGACTGAGCTACTCTGGTTCCACAAAGGTCACAGGTCTGCATATTTCTGGCTGGGGAATTTCGTAGCCTGAAGATGGAAACAGCATTTTTCTCTGAAATGTTAAGATCTATCTGTAAGTCAGCATGGCATTATTACCCAGAAGACTGACATATATATCAATTCTTGTATTAAATTCCATCTGACAAGCTTAACTATTTGTATGAAATAAATAAATATAATTTGTGTGTAGAAAGATATATTGGATTTAGGTGATAACAAGACTAATCTGCTGACATAAAAGTGCAATTAGTGTTATGTTCGTTGGTAGTGCGGGTGCACGTTTGTGTACGTGTCCAGCCTTCTGTCCCTGAGAGTTTAAATACCAGAAATTTCAGTGACCTCTGATACTGTGAATGGGGCACTAATATTCATTTATATTTGTGTCTACTTCCATTCTGTAGTATTTAAAAGAGGTGAAACTTGCTGCTGTGCTACTTTCTCGATGTGAAGTAAACCAAAGCTGACTGATTAGACTGTCGAATAGGTTAGGTGTTCTTACTGACTGCAAGTTTTTCAGATGTGCTGAAATCAAAAGAAATTGTTTTTTTTCCCAAGGTATGTGTCCAATTAACAGCACTGAACTCTTCAAGAATACAAAATGTGGGCAAGCTTCTGACGTGTGTGTATTAGCAGTGGTATTCAGAGTTCTGAATTTATAGACAGTTAAAAATATAAACCTGAATTTGGTTCAATTATTTTATGAAATAGGAAGTATCAGTATATTTACTTTTTTAAATTTTTTTGTTATTTGTGATAAAAATGTATGTCTCAGGAGAGAAATGTTGAACAGCGTACTTATTGAATCCAGTGCACCCATAAAACTAGTTGGGCTAAGTAAAAAGTGTTAAAATGAAACCTCTAGTACATTATTAAAGCATGCATCTGCCTAATGCTTTTTCTGCTTAGAATGACCTGAAATAAGGAGATTCTTTATCAGCACTACTATTCAGATTTTCTTTAGAATATACCATTAGGAGAGTCCAGGGTCCCTTGGTGATGAAGTTACTGGCAATTTGTTGAGTAAAACACAGATTCTTTAAAGATGAAAACAGAAAGTATTAAATGATTGTAAGTAGTTTGGTCTGAAAGAAAACACATTGAGTTCTATACAGTGGAATGTCTTATAACCTACCCATCTGGGGTGAACCATAAGTCCGTAATAGAAGACAGAGATATAATTAGCAAAGTTGAAACAAAAACATTTAAATCATTATATATTTATTATCTCAGTCTATACACAAACGTATTTAAAATGTTGTTGTTAAAATTTATATATCACTATAACATCTGTAGTATAAAATATTACAATAAGTTATATTATGTTATATTATGGCGCTTTTATCGTAGTATGATGTTACATTTATTATGGCGCTTATTAATTATTGCACGACATGTTTCGATGTTTTAGACATCATCTTCAGGTTTATATCGTCGTTTTTATCTTTTTAAAACTATTATATATTTCAATGCAATGCATTTATTGATTTATATGTATATTTGTAGATTTTTTTTTAACAACAACATTTTAAATACGTTTGTGTATAGACTGAGATAATAAATATATATTCGATTTCAACACAAACATGACGCACTTAAGCTACAAAATTTAAATCATTGTTATAAATACTGAAATATACAGAGATTCAAAACAGATTTTCCTCGGCAGATGACGTGGACGTTTCGCACGCACAAGCCGACGGCAAAAGAGTCACTCGTGAGCGCTGTTCGAGGAAGTCTCTGTTCAAATAGTGAATTTATCAGTCATTCTGAGTCGCTGTCCACGTGAAGTGGAGGTTCTGGTGTGATTCTGCTGATGTCAGTTGATGTGCTTGCTGTGTTGTCCTGAACAAGGAGTAGGGGTTCAGCTTGAAGAAGCTACGTATTTTCAACTGGCTTGTTTCTCGTCTTTGTCTAACAAATTCTCTAAATGTCCTGAAGTGTTCGTAATAATCACCAAAACTTGGGTCTGAGGTCAGATCAATGAGCTGTATTATACCATACATATTTCCTCACAGCTGATAATTTTTCGGGTTTGTTATTCATTTCTTCGTAATCATCAGCTTGAGTAGCAGAAACAATCTCCACGCGTGGGTCTCGCTTTACTGACTATCGCCGGTAGAAACTGATCGCAACCGATCTGGATGAAATTCGGTCGATTAATGCGGGAGTTGGATAATCGAGGGTCGGTTAACAGAGGTTTTACTGTATATGTGTTGATGTCTGCAAACTAAAATACGAGAAAAAATAGTAAATAACCATTTAATTCTGAAACTTTCATGTTATAATCTTATCAGATAACGTAAGTATACAAAAATATACTTTTACATCTTCTTCTGTATAATTGTGAAGAAATTGTCTCTTATCTTAAATGAAGGAAAATTGAAAAATAGCATAACGAGTAGCTTCATAATTTGTGTTCCATTTCTTATCTCCACTACACTGAATTATGGGTTACATCATGCGGATACATGTTTGTCTTCAGGCCATAATACTCACGTGCTTAAGTTTGCTAAGTGTGTCACTGTTTTATTATAAATTTCTCCAACTGGATCCATTTTGACACAAGTGTTTCGTATTATTGTTACAACTCAATATTAAATTCTGAGATTGTGTTTGCTTTTATTGGTAAATTTGCAGCTATTTTGTACGTCAAATAATACTTAACATTATAATTACCTTAAATAGTTAAATTTATTATATAGTGATTCCTTATATTTATTAATTAGTTAACAATTTATTTATATGTTTGTTGCTGTGTCCTTAGTATAAGTCATATGTTGCTATATGTTATTTAGGTTCCTTATGCTGTGTGTGTACTACATCATTATTACAAACTCTAGTTCAAGAGTAAACAGCAACACATATATAAGGAGAATTAGAAAACAGCAAAGAATAGAGAAATAAAGTGTAATGGCAACACAACCAGCAGTAACAAACATAAATATGTGCACGAAGATTAGACCTACGACAGAACACACCTAGTATAAAATGAAGAAAGATAATTACAGGTGGCCCTCGATTTACGCCTGGACGAACCGGCGTAAATCGAAACTCTTTTATAATGTAAATCAATTGGAAGTCAATGACATGCTTTCCCAGCATCCAAACATTGACAAGTAATATCATGGCATTACATTTAAAGCTCTGAAATAACGTAAATAAAAAAACTCGCATATGCAAAAGTTTGCATTTCACAAACAGCTTTTACCGATTCATCGATCTCATTGGAGGAAATTCGCGTTAATGAAACATACGTAATTGCAGAGATGACTGTATTTATAATTTTTATTCAAAATTTGCGATGTAAGAATTAAGATTTAGTATAAGAATCAGTACGAGATTCATTGTAAAACGTTATAAATAATAGTAAAATATATTTTGACTTTGCTAGTTTCAAAATCGACGCAAATCGAGGGCTACCTGTAATCAGAATAATGAAAAAATCGTAGAATTAATTCTGATATGTTGAAATAAACATATAATAAACAATCAGAAAATATATATGAAGCACCTCTTGAGGCTGTTTTAACATTTTGGGTGAAGGTGTAGCCAATACCAACAAAAGAGATGAATGGAAATGTATTTTCTGAAGAAATCGGATATATTCTTTGAACTGGATGTATTCCTTATTGCTGCAGTGCATTGAGTTGAGTGGTAAATATCAGGAAGGAAGCAACTGTTGGAGGTGACATTTTCAGAATTCAAACGTGTCTGGTGTTCTGCAGGTGTGTTTGTCCGGTCATTTCTGTGGCTCTATGTCAAAGACCTAGTGCCAGCTGTCAGTGACAGCCTCTCTAGTGTTGTCTTCTGCGCAGTTTCGTCTGTAAGTTACACAGTTTTTTTACTATTACATACAAAGGTGATGCTGATGATTGCAGAAAATTTGCCATATTTAAAAATAGATTCACTAGTTTTGCATGAACTAGAAAATTGTGTGCCTCATGACATCTGAGCTGTCATTTGGTTACAAAACATTTGTGTAGGAGAAACAGGTGATGATATATTTTTTATTGGAAAGGAAAGTGGGAGGCATTTACGTGTTAACATTGTACAAGACTTGTACCAAGAACACTGGTGTAGCAACAATATTCTGTCTAGGCTTGTAGTATTTTGCATGTACACAGTTTGAGTCTTTGACTCTTTCCAAATACCGTTATGATAATCTCAGCTCATTCAACACTAAAGAAGCTTTACAGTTAAAACATAAAATTGATCAGCTGACAGGCATTATTTTCAAACTCAGATAAATATTTGTAAGTAAATATATTTATATTAATGTCCACAATAATATTTCTTTTATAGTGATATTTGATAAGAATTGGATAATATAACATAATGCAGTACAATCTCCCATAAACAAGGGTCCTCAACCTTTCCATGGCCTAGGACCACATTTCCCCATTCTTATTGACTTCTGGGCTGCAGGATTATAAGCGAGAGTAGTTTGTTGAAACTTAATGACAGTTTATTAAAAATGATACTAACTTAGAAGTTCACACATTCCTCATTAATTCTCTTTCATCAAAACAGTCAGTAGTGAAATACTTGACATTGTTTTTCCTAGTGCAGACCATCGATGTCAGTTGTTGAAATTCACGTGTGTCACTCCAAGACTCAGTAAGACACGTCCTACTTCTTGATTTCACATTCTACATTAAGCTGAACAATTGCTAATTGCTTAAGTTGACGACATTAACAAAGCGTCTTTACTGATTTTAGGACATTTTGGGGGAGAAACATATTTTGAAAAGAAGTCAATGACTGATGAGTCACAGAAATTTTCCTTAGTGTTGAGTCACTCTGAAAACTGGCAAATTCAAATTGTAGGTTTCTTGGTGTGGCATCAATGTCCACTGAGAAAGGCGAAGAAAACATTCTTATTAACAGTTCTCTTGCTTTGAAGTCATAAAATATGCCATTAGCTTCCTCAGTCATCATCCTGATGCAGTAACCATATTTCTCTGTTACGAACCACATTTACATTTATCTTGATTTAAGTTTGAAAGTGAAAATAGTTTCTCATTCTTAGTTTGAGTTCCCATAAGGCCAGTTTCATCTCAAAATCTTTAATAGAATGTGGTCTTTAAAGATGAAAGCCTTTTGGTATCGCGTCATATAGTTTTGTATAAGTAAACTGATATTTCCCAGGATGCAATATTCCTGTCTTTATATTCATAACCACGAAAACCTGAAATCACACTGAGTATGTATTTGACATTGAAGATGACAATTAACCCTTTGAGGCTGAAGCTTGTCCAAATATCACACCCTTAACTCATGATGTGGGTTTTCTGAGAGACTGCTTAAGTTTTGGTAGACCTGCCTGACCCCAGATGTATTTGACGTGCAAGAGAATTTTAAATCCATCCCGGAGTTCAGTTGAATTTCAGTTGCTTCCTTGTGATGTCCATGTTTATGCTGAGCTATGCAACCGCTGATTTCTCCGGCTGCTCGAGACGTTTCTATCTCATATACTATTTGCATCTAACCTCGATGGATCTCCCAGTCTGATCCAAATATTCTTTCCCGCATTCACACGAAATTCGATACACGCCGGGGACCTTCAGAGCCAAATCGTCCTTGACCAACCTGAGTATGTCTTGTTTTTGTTTCGCGGAACATGAACCGTCTTGATGTATTTAGCTGGAAGCCTGCTGATTTTGTTCGAAACGGCTTTTTGGTACCGTAGAACGGCTACACTGAACTTCAGAGACGGGGGTTTCTCATTGGGTCGAACCTGGTATCCGCTGACAAACATGTTAGTTATCCAGTCGTCACTCCGTACATCAGGTCCGATTGGCTGACGTTCAGCCAAAAACACGGAACTGGGTCAGGTAGACACTGAGCACGGACGGGATCTCCTACAACTACTGTACCCTGAGGACGAGGACGAAGATGGTTCTCGAAAAGTTAGTGTTTTCTCCATTAATCCACTTTACACGGCTGGTAGCCCGAGAATAATTCAAAATAAGTTATAATTCCTG